GGGGGGACCCCCCCCCCCCCCGGGGGCTTTATCGGCAGGGACGGCCCCGGGGCAGGGGGGGGATCTCCCTTCCCGAGGGGGTTCTGCAGCCGCGGGGAGGGGGGGGTCCCCGAGGAAGGGGGGACAAGATAAACCTGGGGGGTGAGCGGGGTCCCCGGTGTGGATGAGCCCGTAGACCCCCCCCTACACATTTTGGGTTGGCAAAAGGGGTCGGGCTGACACGGGCCGCTTTGGAGTTGCCACAGGGAGCGGTGAGATGGGGTGGGATCGGCAGGGTCCCCCAAAAAGTGGTGGGATCTTGAAGGTCCCTTCCAACCTAGATGGTTCTATGATTTATGATCATGAATATGGTGACTCGGTGGATGATCCAAGGCACAGGCTGTGGGGAGGTGGACGGGCCACCTTAACTAACCTGGAAAAGGAGTTTATATCCCATAGGTGTGCTTCATAAAGAGCTGAACACCTGAGTCCTCTTCAAACACCCCGACACAACACAAACTATCAATCTTTTCAAGCTGGCCGTGTGCTGAGCGTTCAGGTGTGAGAGGTTTGGTCTCTCTCACTGTCCCCTGTGTTTATCTGCTTATTCTCCTGCTGCTGTCACCCTGACCCGAGGGCTGGGCTCCCCCCCAGCCCCCCAGCTTTCTGCTCCTGCAGTGCCCAGAGTCCCTGTGTGAGATCAGGAGTGATTCAACAGCTTTTATTTGCGCTCAGATTTCAAGGACTCCTGGCTTTTACTTTGCAAGCTGATCCGCACAGCAGTTCCCCACACCTGAAAGGAATGCCTTTGTACTGCAATTGCAGCCACGGAAATCAGGCTTGTAATAAGCAGACACAGGGACTTTCTTTTTTTTTTTTTAATCTGCAGGTCTCCTTGTGATACAAGGAAATGTCAGCCGGAGCCAGGGGAAGCCCAAGTGTGATCCTTTCCCTCTGCCGTGTGTGTGCCAGGAAGCAAATTAGCACTGAGTTTTTAGGAAGCCTCTTCCTAAGCATTAAACCCCCCCATCCTCCACGTGTGTGAGCCCCTCCCCAGATCCCTACGGGCTTCGCTGCCCGATGCACCACCAGAAACATCTCCCTCTCCAATACGACCTGCCTGGTACTAGGGTTTGGGTTTTTTTTTGATGCAAAACCTTAAAGACAGTGGGACTTGACCCCAAATCATTTCTTGTTTGAGGTACGAAAGCAAGTCTCCAGCATTGCCAACAATCTCCTGTGTGATACGAGTGAAAATTGAGAGTTAATGGGTAACAGAGGGAAGCTTGAATCCTCCTCGGATTTACGACAGTTAGAAATCAGTGATTTTCCTTTCGTGTTTAAGAGTTGCATGAAACTCTCCGTCGCGTTTTCGTTTTATCTCAGTTTCCCCAGCGTGGCCTGGAGGGTGTAACCACCTCACAATCACTTTCATGGACACTGCTCCCACGTCGCCCGTGGAAGCGAGTGGGTCTTCCCATTTTTAAGCTTGGAAGGGGCTCGTTGGAATCTCAACAGCCACCAAACTCCATCCACAAACTGCTATCTTTTATCTACCTGGCTCCATTGCTATTAACTTGGCTCCCTCCTACATGAGCCTCCAGGGCACAGTATTGCAATTAAACCCGCAAAGAAAATACAAATAAATCCTGCAGGAATACGCAGCATTCAACTCCAACCCCCTCAATTAAAGTGAAGAAACAGGTTTCCAGGTAAATAACCAGATCCCGGGAAGGCGCAGATCAAACATGGCGTGGGAACGAGAGGTGGAAGCAATAAAACTGATTCACAACTATTTATCACCCGGTTTTGGGCCACTTAAACTTCCCGGAGAGGATGGTAGCCCCGCTGAGAGCATCGAACCGGCTCCGACCCGCGGGTGCGGAGCCTCCGCGCCCCCCCCAACACACATAACTCCCCCTCTCCTCCCTCCGGAGCGCTCCCCAGCCCGCAGAGCGCAGGCTACAACTCGCCCTTCGGTGGCCCAGCCCTGCCAACCGCCTCCCGGAGTTGCCCAACCGGGAGGCGAACGAGCCACCACCGCTCCCCGACGGCTCCCTCCGACCCCTCGGCCCCCTGCCCTCCCCGAGCCCCATCGACCCCGGGGGAGGGAGGAAAGAGGGGTCACTGACCGGTTCCCCCCGCGCTGTCCGAGGTCACCTCCTGCGTGAAGATCCAGGGGGGGTTGGTGGCGAAGAGGGAGGAGGATGAGGAGGAAGAGGAGGCGGCGGGGTTGGGGTGCCGTTTGCCGAAGAGGCGGCTGAAGGTGCCCTGCACCGAGTGCTGGTGCTTCTTCATCCTGCGTGAGCGGGGTCCCCGGTGTGGATGAGCCCGTAGACCCCCCCCTACACATTTTGGGTTGGCAAAAGGGGTCGGGCTGACACGGGCCGCTTTGGAGTTGCCACAGGGAGCGGTGAGATGGGGTGGGATCGGCAGGGTCCCCCAAAAAGTGGTGGGATCTTGAAGGTCCCTTCCAACCTAGATGGTTCTATGATTTATGATCATGAATATGGTGACTCGGTGGATGCTCCAAGGCACAGGCTGTGGGGAGGTGGACGGGCCACCTTAACTAACCTGGAAAAGGAGTTTATATCCCATAGGTGTGCTTCATAAAGAGCTGAACACCTGAGTCCTCTTCAAACACCCCGACACAACACAAACTATCAATCTTTTCAAGCTGGCCGTGTGCTGAGCGTTCAGGTGTGAGAGGTTTGGTCTCTCTCACTGTCCCCTGTGTTTATCTGCTTATTCTCCTGCTGCTGTCACCCTGACCCGAGGGCTGGGCTCCCCCCCAGCCCCCCAGCTTTCTGCTCCTGCAGTGCCCAGAGTCCCTGTGTGAGATCTGCAGGTCTCCTTGTGATACAAGGAAATGTCAGCCGGAGCCAGAGGAAGCCCAAGTGTGATCCTTTCCCTCTGCCTTGCATATGTCAGGAAGCAAATTATCAAGGAATTTTTAGGAAAGCCTCTTCCTAAGCATTAACCCCCCCATCCTCCACGTGTGTGAGCCCCTCTGCAGATCCCTACGGGCTTCACTGGGACTATGCACCACCAGAAACATTTCCCTCTCCAATACGACCTGCCTGGTACCAGGGTTTGGGGTTTTTTTGAGGCAAAACCTTAAAGACAGTGGGACTTGACCCCAAATCATTTCTTGTTTGAGGTACGAAAGCAAGTCTCCAGCATTGCCCACAATCTCCTGTGTGATACGAGTGAAAATTGAGAGTTAATGGGTAACATCGGTTATTAATAAATGCTGGGGTTTCTGGAGAACTTTAAACCCACAATAGCTGTGGAAACATTAACTCCAAAACACAGCTTTGGGTTATGGTCATCCTGTCCCACATCTATTTCTATTTCCACTACATTTTGAGAGTAAAAATTATATAGATTGCATTTTTCAGTAATAAATATCACTTAGTTAATCACTTTGAAATTATGCTTTTCATAACCTCTTCTTGCCACTAAGTAAGAATTAGGGCAACACATTCAACCACCCGTCAACAATGAAAAACGAGCAGCCCCATCGACCCCGGGGGAGGGAGGAAAGAGGGGTCACTGACCGGTTCCCCCCGCGCTGTCCGAGGTCACCTCCTGCGTGAAGATCCAGGGGGGGTTGGTGGCGAAGAGGGAGGAGGAGGCCCAAATCATTTCTTGTTTGAGGTACGAAAGCAAGTCTCCAGCATTGCCCACAATCTCCTGTGTGATACGAGTGAAAATTGAGAGTTAATGGGTAACATCGGTTATTAATAAATGCTGGGGTTTCTGGAGAACTTTAAACCCACAATAGCTGTGGAAACATTAACTCCAAAACACAGCTTTGGGTTATGGTCATCCTGTCCCACATCTATTTCTATTTCCACTACATTTTGAGAGTAAAAATTATATAGATTGCGTGCCGTTTGCCGAAGAGGCGGCTGAAGGTGCCCTGCACCGAGTGCTGGTGCTTCTTCATCCTGCCGGAGCTACCGCTGAGCCCCGAGCTCCCAGAGCCGGGCAGCCCCGGGCCGGGGCCGCTGCCGGGACGGGACGGGACGGGGGCGGGTTGCATTTTTCAGTAATAAATATCACTTAGTTAATCACTTTGAAATTATGCTTTTCATAACCTCTTCTTGCCACTAAGTAAGAATTAGGGCAACACATTCAACCACCCGTCAACAATGAAAAACGAGCACTCTTCTGGTGTTTCAAAAGGAAAATCTAATCATAAAATAAGTCGTCAGGCAGCAGAGAATTAACATGAGGGGCAAACGGAGGGAAAGAAAGGTTTAAATGTGGTCCCGTGTGGATTCAATACTGTGGTTGCAATATGGGGGTTACAATTAGGACAGTTTTCAGAGCTTTTATCCCGCTCTGCAGAGGGGCAGCTCCATCCCAGAGCTGCTCCTGAGATGCGCTGGAGGAGCAGCGGGTGATGCCGAAGGGACATCCCCGGTCACGAGGACTGCAATTAGTGGGACTGGCGCCCTTCTGACAGTTATCCGAGCTGCTGGCAGTGCCAGATGGGGAAAGGACAGGGCCCTTGAAGGTCTGCAGGAGGGTGACACCTGCACACCCCGAGCTCAGGGCCAGGGGATGGCAGTGACGGGCACTCCTGCCCACAGATAAGTGCAATAGGATGGAAACTGTGAGACAACATTCCTCCTGAGAGTGGTGCTGGAGCCAGCTCTTCACAGGAACCCACCGAGCCGAGCCCCAGGCATTTAAAGAAAATTCCCTGGTACCTCTGGAAAGCAGGAATCGGATGAAATGAAGGACCTGCTCATGAAATGAAGGACCTGCTCACTACTGGAGAGAAAAAGGACATAATATCTTTGCAAGACAGGCAGGCATTGCTGCTCGCTGCTACTCACAGCCCTTCCCTGAACACATTTAATAGGATATACGGAGAGACAGAGTCAAGGAAAAGGGGAAGGAGAAGAGGAACTATTTTAAGAAGAGAAGCCAATAAAACCCCCGTGGAGTGAGAAAGCCTGGGCTGATGCACAAAGGCGTCCCACAAAATGTCGCTGAAACACAGAGGCTTCAAAGGGGTGATGCTCTTTGGGAAGGGGAGAGGGTGACTCAGCTCGGGGTGTTCCTCTGCCCCAGGGCAGGGGGATGTGGAGCAGCTCAGGGGGGGGCTGAGCTGTACCCGGTGCCACCCTACCAGCGGTGGGTTTGCCTCACCCTGGGTGGTGAGCGTAGGAAAACACACTCCTCACAACATGAAGGGGTGAATTTATTATCCCAGTGAACACAAGCTGCTAAACGAGTCTGCGAGAGCTCATGTGCACACTCCCTGCGTTTGTTCCAGCTGACAAAAAATTCGCACCTCCCAGTGAAGCATGGACCTCCCTCCAGAAGAGCTGAAAGAGCTCCAGACCAGCAAGAAGAGGGGGTGAGGTGCTGCTTGCCAGGCTGGCTTCTATCTATCTATTTCTTCTATCTATTTCTGCAAAGATGCAGAAAAGGTGCCCGGTTTGGTGGCAGGGCTGTATTTTTAAGGGAGGACGACTGCCACTCACTGCTCACCGTGATCTCCTGAGCGATAGAGGCCACCCAGCCCAAGGGACAAGGTGGGCTGGGCTGGGCACGGAGCACAGGAAAGCACTGGGAAGATCGCCAGTGGATTTTATGGCATAGAAATAGCCCTGTGAGCCCTGCTCTGATGTAACACGCCGCAGTGTGAGGCTGCCTTTGATCCCCACACGGGTAAACACCCCCCAACAACCTGCCTCTGCGGCAGCGTGAGGAGCTGCACCCCACGGATGTAGTTCCTGCTCAGCTCCCAGGGGGTGAAGGACCCGAACCAGGGAGAGGGGGGCAGGAGAAGGGACACAGTATATGGCTGCAGAACAGCAAACTACACCTGTGGAAGGAGAAACAGCTCATACCTATAGAGGGGAGCGGGTCTGAGCTGCCACAGCCACATTTTGGCGGGGGTGGCATGGCCAGCCCAGAGTGTCCCGGCGGGATGGGCAGCAGTGATGGCTCCCATCGGGCTGTGACCCTTCCCCAGCCCCAGCAGCCCAGGAGAAGCAGCACCCTCCTAATTGCCATGGCTGAGCCCCTCTGCACCCTCTGCCCTGAGGGGCACCCCTGTGACAGCCACCACCGCACCCCTCTGCACCCTCTGTCCTGAGGGGCACCCCTGTGACAGCCACCACCCAGTGACACCCCAGGGGTCACAATGGCCACGAGTGGCCCCAATGGCCCTGACAACCAGCACTGCCCACCTCCAGCCTCTGCCCCAGACAGCCCCGCGCACCGGGGTCCCCACCGGGAAGATGTCATCGCAGGTGGGAGCTCATGGTTTGGTAGGAGGGACTCTGGCTCTCCCTGTCCCCTTCCTGCAGGCAGGGGGCTGGAAGACCCTCGCCCCAAGGGTGGCCATGACAAAGGGTCCCCGTGGTGTCCGTGTGATGCATCCATCATCCCTCCCCTGCTGCGCGACTCCGGGCTGTGCTGCCATCAGCCAGCTTCTCCCTGGTGGTCACCAAGGGCTCAGAGCAAACAGCACACGATAGCCCTGGGATGGCTCCGTGGGGATGAGCGAGGAGCTGCTGGTGTGGGGACACCCCGCTGCAGAGCGAGGGGGACGGGGGGCAGCACTGGGGGATCCCTTCTCCTGGGGTGGGTGGCTGGACCCCTCCTGCTCTCCCCATCAGTGCCATCCATCATCCCCCTGTGATCCCACCCGTGGGGATCCTCCTCAAGAGACAAGAGACAATTTGGGAGGGATTAGGGATCTCTGAACGTGTGAGCGGATGCCATGGCATCACGTCGGACTGAATTCAGGCACAGAGCTCTGGCAGCACCATAAATAGCACCGGGGACGTTGACCTGGTGCTTCCCCTCCAAGACAGCAATCACTTAAGCAGGTGCCCTCACTCGGGCATGAAGGACATTGGACTGGGCTGCTCAGGGAGGTGGTTGAGGCCCCATCCCTGGAGGTGTTCAAAAGACGGGTTTATGTAGTGCTGGGAGGTCTGGTTTAGTGATGATGCTCCTTGTTTGTTGTGTGGGTGTCTATTTTTGTCAGTTAGGTTGACGGTTGGACAAGATGATCTTTAAGGTCCCTTCCAACCTAGAAAATTCTGTGATTCTGTGACACTTCTGCCAGGCTTTAGATGCCCCAGAGGACGAGCAGGAACCCCCAGGGCAGACAAACCCCACTGCAGGAGCAAAGCCCCAAAGCTCAGCACTCCCTGGGAGGGAGGGGGTGTCCTCCCCATCACTGGAGGTGACCAGCAGCCCTGCGTAGCCGGGTGCGTGCAAGGCTTGCACATCTCCGAAGCAGCCACGTGGCTTAGGAGCTGGGTTTTCAAAGTGACTATGACCTGAGCTCCACACCCCTGATGGTGTTAGTGCTCCCCGTGGGGTGGGGGCAGCTGCGGCGGCGCAGTCCTGTGCAAACTTGTCCCTTATCTTCCACTGCAAGAAAGGGATGAGCTATAATCCAGCATCTGTGTGAACAGAATCATTCCTGACCAAGTGTGCTCAGAGCAGGGGGACGTGAGCCACGCTGAAGTGACCCTCATGGGGCAAAATCTGCTCTTCAGGAGTCAAAATCCCATTGTTTTATCCCCGGCAGAGAGAACGGGCTGACGTTCCCTCGCGGCAGCAGCTGCTGAAATAGGACTTTGTCCTGATCTCCAGCAGCAGAGCCTGCCAGGCATCTGGAGGGTGGCCGTGCTGGGGAAACCCGTGACAAAAAGAGGTGGTAATCGTGTGAGGATCTGGTAATTTCCCTCAAAGGCTTTAAGGAGATTTCTGAACAATTTGTGGGTGTCCCCCTCTTAATAGGTTTAGGAGCCAGCATTCGGGGAACAGAAATAGAGCACCGAGTAAGCCAGGGCGTCACGGAAACTAGGAAACCTCTTTACAAGGTTAAAAATAAAGCCAGGCAGCAAAGCGTTTATTTAGGACGCCCAGGAGTAAAGCGGATAATTGCTGGGGGAAGAGCCAGTTTCCATTAGCACTGAGGTGTCATCAATGAAAACAAGATAACTGAGTCATGGTTAAATAACAGCAGCAAAAATACTTTCCCAGTCAAGGACAGCCTTGGAGCAGCCGTGGGTGACAAGTGAGCCCCACGTGTGTCCTGGGGCACACGTCCCCACCACCTCCTCAGCAAAGGGTCCCTGAAAATGCAGGGGTTTGGTGCCCTTGGTGCCCCACGCTGTGCATACGGGTGGTGGCACTGCCTCTGCTCCGAGGCTTCGGAAATGTGACCCAACCGATGACAAGGAAGAGCTTGACTCATGAGTCAACAACCCTGGTTTTCCCTTCACATTTCTGAGGGGAAAACCCACAGAGAGCAGTGGGGAGAGCAACCATCAGGGCCCCAGCAGGGTTCCTGCGGAGGGACCCGGAGCCAGCCGAGCCGATGCCCCAGGCTGTGTTTGCAAAGGATGCTGCTGTGTTTCTGCCATGGCTAATGATGTCCTGTTGCCTCTCCTGGCTCTGACTGGGTTCATCCATTTTCATGGCTGGTTTGCCATGGCTGTGGTTTGGTGAAGACTTTACAAGGAGCGTGTGTCACTCTCACAGTCATTAGAACTGAGATCCTGATCTGGGACTGGGGGTCCCCTGGTCCAAACAGAAGGAAAACGTAGTATCCCCCAAAAGTGATGGAAAGCTGAGCCAGGTCAGGCTGACAGTGGGAACATCAAAAACTGGGAAGAACCTTATGTTCACTCTGGGCTGTTACAAATAACCACCTGAAATGCAAATCAAGAAGGAATCAAGTCCTTCGAGTCTCATGGTGTGCATTCCCTCAGTATACTTTGGTTTATTTTCACTAAGTCGCTTCCATATTTCCAGTACAGCATTTGATTTTCAACTCACTTTCTCCTGAAGTAACACCACCATAGATTTTTAGCTAAAGGAATGTAAATACCTGACTTCTCAGCATTGATGCTGCGTATTGACTGCCCTTACAGCGAGTGCCAGCAGGCTGGTGCTCCCCAAGCTCTCCTGGTGTGTGTCACTTGATGCTTTTTGGTCGCCAGTTGCACAGCTCTTGCATCAGGACA